TATAAAAGTGACATTTTTAAAAAATGTATTCACCCTTTTTTTACTTGTTTATTTACTTGTCGAATGTTCCAATGTCCGTAGTGAATTGGGGGGATGCAGACGCTATCTGGGCTGGTTGATTGAGTCAAACGGTTTGTCGGATATCTGTGACAGCAGGCGTTAAGGGGCTAAAATCATTAACAACAGTAGCTGGTGACAGAGAAAACCACCAGTCAAAACATTGTGCAATGGTTTTCTGCAGACGCTCAGACTTCTGCTTCAGCCTTTCAGACAATTCTGCATGTTACAAAAACATCTATCTAGCTATCCTGGCTAAACAGGTTTTCAGTTTGTGACGGAGAGATGGAGCATCTGAGACTGGAGGGTCAGTCTAAGATTTCACCATGTCAGAAATATTGATGAATTTCCAGCCCATGTCTTTTTTTTAAAAAAACCCATAACAGTGTGTTTAAAGCTCAAAATTTCATGGAGTGGAAGAGTCTAGTTGTCTCCTCATCATGGCACATGTGTGATTACATCAAGCTAACAGCTATTGAAGTATAGCAAACACTTTACAACATCATGAGAGGTTAGAAAGCTGATTATTCTGTTTGAATCACAGAAAAATTGTGGTTTCACACTCTCCCTTGTGTGCATACTGTATGTACTCACTCAGTTCCTCTTCCTTTTCCACTGTCAGCCTTTGCCTGTGTACAGGCACAATGAGACCCACCCATGGCACAGATTTGTCACATTACACTGGGCTCATGTTCGCAGACACGATGTGACAATCACAAGTAAGATGTCGGTCAATTTCAGCCCCTGGGCCCAGAGGTCAGAGTCCTGGAGCCAGTGGGAATGAACCAACTTAAACTGTGAATGTGCTTTTTCATCAGGGAATTATAATGTGAGCTGAATCTATAAAGGCAGAACTCTGGACAAGATAAGAAATCTGTGAATGCCAACATACACATTTCAATATTATATATGTATTCTTTACTAAAACAGAAGCCTGGATATGTTTTCATGATCATTAAAGGAAGTTTTTTTCTCACATCTAGGTAACATTACGGTGGGGGTTTGTAGATACAGTTTTGTACGGAAACAGAAGTTTCTTTGAGCTCCTTGAGATTTATTGTGTCAAACTAAAAAGGAATGTATTTGTTGCATTGCTTCTAAAGATAGAAACAGAAATAAATTCCAAAGCTATTCTAAGACACTCCAAATTTCTTTCTCCTTTTCACTCACACACAAGCCTCTCTTTGTGTTGCTCTTTAGAAAAAGACCTCTGACGAGGGTCTGCAAACTGAATGACACTGAAAGCATTTTAAGATCTTATCAGATCCTGATATTCCTGCTATTTTGAAGTTAGGACATGAAAACTGTTTGAAAACCAAGGATAATAATGGCCTAAACATTAGTGGTAATCATGTATAAAACCATCCTGAGGTTGTCGTTAAACTGCTGCAATAGCGAATAAAATCTCCCTAAATATGTATCCTGGGGATGTGCGTTGATTCACTGGAGATAACAGTCAAATAAAGATGAATTTCAGTGTTTTAAATCAGCCAAGTTCTATCAAACTCGTTATGCCAGTGTAGAAAACTTGTTAGAACTCAAACAGCTAACTCCAGGCTGCTGGAGCTAATCTATAAAAATCTAACCACCTCCCTTTGACCCAAAACCATACGCTATCCTCTTTTCTCTGTCATTTTAGATGTCTTTATTCACTTTTACATAAAGGCCAAAAACAGAAATCTTGCCCAACAAAATGTGTCAAAAAGTGGAATGCAATTTGACCACAGCCAGACGGCTTCACTGTGATTGGCCGATTTGAAGCTCCAAGGAGTCGCCCTGATGGTTAAGGCTTCAGGCCCTTTGTGCTATAAGGTTATGCTGATTGATCTTGACCTCACATACAGCCGTAAAGACCAAAGCTGACTCCAGTACCCGGCACATCCTGCCTTTTCTCGTCTCTAAAGCAATGCCGCACCTCCAGATTTTTGCAAGCTGTTGCCTACCAGAGGAAAGTTTGAAAAACATGAAAAGCTGTAAAAAAGCCTGTGCACAGAAACAGAAAGAGAGTGCGCTATTGTGTCTGACCTTTCAAAACCAAACACAAAATTAGCTACATTTATAATAACTAAACAGTGGGAGGAGAGCAGAAAACATGGAGGCTGCAGAATCATGAGGAAAACCAAAGAGCTCGAACATACTGCAGCGTTCTGCTCACCGTTACTTCATTCCACAAATATGTGATATTCAAAAGCAGCTTTTTTAAAACAACAGCAAAAAGATTGTTCTGCTCCAAAAATCCTCTTGATGCAATAAAGCAACCATGAACAAAGGAACTAACTGAAATATTTCCCCAAAGCAAACGGAAAAAAAGGACTTTATAATCGCATTCTGATTTCTTGCATAACTCCTTTTTCTTCAGGACCTCCTGCATTATGGATGTGTCACTCTCTCAACAGCGACACCATTTTTAGAATAAACATTAGGAGTTCAAGACGTCTCAAGCCATTATACATATGGAACATACGGCCCGGCTCAGAATCTGCTGCAGAACTCAGGCTATTCCAGCTTTAGACATTTTGATAAGGAATGATATCAAATAAACACTTTGAGATTTTTCTTTCTGATGTTGGAGTACACAAAGAGCAGCTGGAAGAAAAATGGGGGGGGGGGAAGATTTACATCTCTCCCTCTGTGTGCACAGCCTCTCAATAGAAAGAGGACAGATGTGCCACCAGGAGCAAAACAAACTATTCACCAAAGAGGTAGATCATCATCTTCATTACAAAGAGTCCCTTGTTTCGTGCTACATCTCCGTCTCCAAACAACCAACAGGAGCGGCTAAAAATACAATCAGCATGAATTATTCATATTTTCCACAGATCCTCTGGATGAGCTGCATGCACAAGAGGCTGCATCACATAGTATAATTACAGAGGTTACAACTGTGGGGATAAACACAAATTAAAACTCAACTCCACCCTCAGAAGAATTCAAACCGCTTGATGGCACAAGAACTGTGACTAAGATGTGAACAAAGATCCAGGGATGAAAGTTACAAACTGAGGTGGTTCAAAGTTATTTACACTGGTCAGTCTGGGGCATTTTTAGTAAAAAAATAAAATAAAATAGCTGCCAGTGGTTTGTTAGAACGAGATTCTTGAGCAAAGAAATGGAGGAATATGGGATCTGTGCAACCACAGCCTCAGTCTGTGAATGTAAAGAACCATACATAGAAAAAAAGTTTACCCACATGCTTTAAAAACAGAATATAAACCCATAATGACTTCAAATAGTCTAAATTCATGCGGAAAGCTAAGTAAGACTGCATTTGGTTTTGACTAAATCCAAACAATTATGTCAGCACATTAAAATCCTGAATGTGACCATAAGCTGACACAACTAAAATAAAGATAAAAAATGCTTTCAGCTTTGCAAATAATTTATTCTAGCCTGAATGAAAAAAAAAAAAATTGTATTTAAGTTTTTATTCCTTTGAGACCACAACGCTGGGCATAGTGCAATTGACTGTTTTACAATAAAAACTGTTTCAATATGTCATGTTAGCTGTTTTAGTTACTTACATTGGTACGGAATACTACTGACATCATAACTAGCTCTGATGTAAGTGCATTATTTCCCATAGTTTTTTGTTTTTTTAGACATGTGTGCTAGGTTTTAGACATGTCTCTGCTTTAACACACCTGCTATGATTAAGTAGATCTATTGTTACAGTGTTAAGGTCTGCAGAAGTCTGATAATGGTGCACTGATAAGAACCAGATGTGTTGAAGGAGGGAAACATCTGTAGCCTGCAGGACATCGGCCCTTGAGGACACCTGGGAAATGCCGTGCACTATGTATGCACAACTATGGATGCAGTTGGACTCGTGTCAAGCATTAGCCAAATCTCAAACTGCCAAGTGGAAAAAAGAGGAATAGCGAGATGATCAGCAAATTCCACGGGGATCGCCCTGGAGAAAAGATTCATGTCAGCATAACACTGCGTGTCAGTTAATCCAGCAGCTCTCAGAACGCTTCAGAATGGTGGTTCAATTGACCATTTAACATTTCCACCCACTGCCTATAGCATGGGAGCATTGCTTCTATGGTTTGATGTATGGTTTCTGTCAGAGGAAAGGGGATAAGAGTGTTTTCATTTTTACTGCAAAAATAAAAAAAATAAAAATGGAACAAATCCCTATGAAGAATATGCAATGTGTGAAAAAGCCAAAAGATGATTAAGGACCTGCGCTGCTGACATAATTAAGTACTGTGACTGGTTTAAGTGTATGGAAGAGCAATGTGTTCTTCAGTTTATGCTGCAGCTTCTGCAGACTCATTAGCTCCTGGACAGTGATTTACCACTTTCACAAAAAGATATTTCAATCTTTTGGGCATCTGGACAAATGCACTTTTAACATAATAGGAACATTGTTGTTTAGATTTTTACTTCTGAATGAGAAAAAAACCTTTATCTTCAATGTCTTTTCTTTGGATTAATTAGTTAAAAAACACTCGCACACAAACATACTAGCATTAAGTCATTTCCATAAATGCCCCAAATACAAGACAACACATCAAATTCTACATTGTCATGATTAATTTTGTGATTTGCATGTGTAGATATGAAAAGTGAAAGCACATTTGATTATCTGGGCCCTCAAACACCCATTTGACCATTTAACCTCCAATCATTGACAAAATATTAATCATATTGATGGTTCCAAACTTAAAAAAACTAAATGAAAATGATGTTAATGGTCAAATAAGATATTTACATTACACCAGTACACCTGCCCAATGACAGTCCGCCGCTATCTTTGTGCCAATGATGGAACTAGATATGGAGCTCAAATAGAAAACCCATTTGAATGAAAACAGTCCACCACATAGAAGTTCATCCTCAGAATACGTCTTCAGTACAAAGGCATCCCATTGCTATTCTCTGCACAGCAAACGTCAGCATTACCCCCCCAGAGCACTACTACCACTGCGGCTACCTACTATAGTGCCATGCATTATACATCAGCCCGACTTTGAAGGGGTTTTTCTCTGAAGAAATGATACCACTGAAGAAATGGCTTATGGAGGGCAGCATCAAAGAGGAGCCGTCGCCGCCGGCCTCTGCTCTGGACCGCGGCTAAAGCTCAAGTGTAACAGCACGATCAACTCTATTAACAACTAACTTGACAGCTTAATGCAACTTAGCGCACAGCAAGGAACACCGAAATGTCAAGAGAAAAAAAATAACTGTTTCGAAACATTTTCCAAATACAAGTTTTTGCAATATGCAGTGGCTGAGCTGTTAGAGGGATATTCCGGCCATTTCCCTGGACCGTTCAGCTAATGAGAGGCCTAAATGCCAAAATTTACTCTTATGTTTGCTGCTTTTATCTGATGCTGTGGTGTGTCTTTGGTCTGGCAGCTCTTGTATGTTTTTTAACTTGTGCACAATCTAAATAATGTATTTTTATTTCAAACAATGACAATTCAAACATTCATAAATACAACTGTCCTTATGGCCCCTTTTCGTTGTTTGCATTGGTGACTTTGGAGGCTGTTTGTGCCTCTGAAGTCACAGTAGCTCCATGAATCTGAATCTATTCTGTTTATTGCTGAGAAGTCTTCTTAATAAAGCAGTTGGAATTCAAGCTGCAAGCCCACTCTCACTCTGCTCCTTCCTTGGCCTCTCATCACACGGTCTCCCACCGAACAGGACATGCTGTTGATTTCCCAGAAGCGCTGATACATTTTTAGCGGCTTGGAGAAAAAGAGTGCGCAGCTACAGATGGGTCTGCGGCCACAACCGGTACTTCCCCAAAGCATCTGCTTTGCTCGGAGAGTTTAAAAACTGGAGGTGGGGAGTCATATTTAGTCACCACGCGTACGTGCTCACAAATCCAACCGGTTGGTCCATAGCCAGTGCAACAATATATGTGTATCCTAAAAGAAAAAAAAAACAGACACTAGTCCTCCAGTTCCTCTTTTGCAAATGAAAAAATCATGCCAGCTCTGCCCTGAAGTGCTGTGGCCGCTTTTTCTCTCTTGCAGTGCTATAAATAGTGGAAAGTGCTGCTGTCTCTCATATTTCATGTGTCACTGGCTTCAACAGTCACTGGTGAAGAATGTTCACCGCTCTCATAAAGCCTCTTCTTACATCCCTCTTTGCTTACTTGCACTTCCTTTCTCTGCATTTGGTTGTCTAATAGTTTGCTCCTCCTCTTTCCCTTTTCATGCCTTCTCCCTACAGACCAGGTTCAAGTCACATGTTCCTCAAGGTGCCAGAGACCAGATGACTATAAGTAGGGCAACTCAAGGAGAGAGAGAGAGAGAAAAAAATAGAGTCAAGTAATGCGTGTTCAGTCAACAAGAGCCGTTTATATCAATTTGTGAGAAAGGAAAAGGTAACAGTGCTCTTTTTCTGTCAACATTAATTTAGCACCAAACACAGCTGGTATGAAAACGGAATGCTAACAAGACACAACAAACATTCCACACAAGTATTAAACAAATATCCTTAATAGATAGATAATAGAGGGGTAGTATATATCTCTATTAGATTTTTTTTAAAGGTAAACAAATATCAGCATCCAGCATTAATATTCAGTTAGGTGTGAAATCAGGTGTGAAATCATCCATCCCCGGCCCCCCCCCCCCCCGAAAATCAGCAGAATAGCACTGATGAGAATTTGATTGTGTTATTGGAATGTAATTGGCTTGAATTGGACTTTATTTCTGAAGTGCCAAGAGAAGACGCTTGTTGTGATTTGGCTCTTTATAAATAAAATGTCATTGAACTTTGTGTCATATTTCTGCCTTACTGACCTTATGATTACTGCATGTATTAACTGTCATAAATGGCTTAAACAAAGGACTTGTGGGATTGAATATTTATTCATCTTTAAATATACAGCGACAACTGAGCAAACTGACATTCAACCAGTTCAGGCTTGCACAAATTATGAAGAGCCACCATATCATTAAGCTTCAGATGTGCTGACCTGGCTCATGCTTTCAAATACATTGAACTTTGCAATAACAAGAAGCATATTGTGACAAATAGGGCCACTAACAAAGGTAATGTATGCAGGTCTATATTTGTAATTTAGCTTATAATGATCTGATCAATGGCTGCTATTAATTAAGATGAGACAGTTATATCACTGAAAAAAAATAAATGACATCCATTCATTCAATCTGAAGGCCAAGATAAGTAAAGCCACACTGTTGTTTCACCAAAGCAGCTGAGTAAAGTGCAAATAAGGATATCCCTGTCCAAACCTGCATATGGCCAGCTGAATGAAAATCTGAGGGATTTGACCCTCGGCCAACAGCAAACTCTACGGCTTTCAATCAGGCAAAATGCTTAGTAATCAGCAAGGAGCTCAGCTCAACCTGGAGAAATCCTCATTAGTTAAGTCTGAAAGAGCCGAGAGGGGCAAAAAGAAGGTGCTCCACAAGTCCCACTCAAAAGCTCATTCTGTTTGTGGAGACTGAGTCTGTCACGTTTTCAGTTAACGATTTTTTACCTGGTGGTGTTTCCGGTGATTTAACCTGTGTGGGCTGATCAGTGACAACATAGCTTTTACTTCACCCCCGATCCAGAGTGATACACTGACTTCAGTCACTTGACATTCTTATTATTTGCACTGCTTGTTTTGCATCCAAACATCTCATGATAAGACCTTTCCAGCTAATTAACTCTGTTAATGAGTCCCACAAGCAGGAACACAAGGAATTAGAAGAAGGGGCACAATAGTTTGAAGGTGTGGCCTTTGTTGAGACGAGCTTCTGCTCATCTCGCAGCCTTTCGTTTGGCCTTGTGTGCATCAGTGGTTCCAGGGTTAGCATCCGCCATTAGCCTGTGAATACAAAACGGACTAATTCACAAGTGGCTCCAAGATCTACATTCAACATATCTGATAAGCTAAGTTCATTTACACGGCAGTCTCTTCTGACCATATCACTGTTATTAGAAACGCCAACAGTATAGATAGACTTCAAACCTAAGCCCTCACAACTAGAATTGTGCTTCTATCTGACCTCTGATTAATCACATGACCCGGGCGGCCGATATGCTTGACAGAAACAGATTAAAAACGTCAACAGAACAGACTTCATTCGTTTATATGTGGGTGACAGTCCATTTCTCCTCCTCATGCAACCACAGCCGTTTATGGTTTTAATAGCTAGTTTTATGATTATTTTTAAACAGAGATTGTGTCCATTTATTAAATTACGGTCTCAGTTCTGAATCCGGTCTTGCATTGGTTTGGGGCTTTGCTCTGATTGATAATCCTCCACTAGTGGGAGTGCATGGAGTCATCCACCACAGTCACCGCTTCTGCTTAATGTGGGATGTTGTGCCTTCCACTCCCCATTTTCTGCTCTTTTGTTTTTTTTAAACACCCAAGTTATAATGACCCAAGTAATGACTACTCATTCCGATTATCTGCAACCCCCTCTGGGTCCACAAAAGTCAATAATAACATATTATACTTGAATGCAGTAGTATTCCCTCAGACAAAATAAATTGAGTTCCCCAAAATGTAAGGCTCTGTATGAGATGTTGAAGCTCATCTTTTGTGCTCTATGAAAATCTAATATAAGTTTAATGTGCATCCATTTAATGATTGTAAGACATTTAGCAAAAAGCAACAATCTAAAGCTTGCGGTTTCACCAACGGATAAGACAAGAGTCACCAATGTCATTAGAGTAAAGCTTATAGGAAGCAGATCCCATACCAATCCATTCTATAGATACCGAGCCATTTCCATCAGGACTTAGAGCCGTCGCTGGCTCTGAAGTGCACTAATAACCCACAGAATAGGCAACAGTCAATGAGAAGCACCATGCAATATCTTTGGTCAGCAGCAAATAGAACAGGGAAGCAAAGTGCTGAACAAACCTTTAAGATAAAGAGGAGATTAGTGGCTGTCAGGCCACTGGCTGGATGTGAGTGCAGTGAATGAAGAGGCATTAAAGCCAGACAAAGCTGGTTCTCATGGGTCAGACGCCACTTCCTCTGCTGCACGTGTACACACACAAACCCAGTCACCCAAAAACTCGCAAGCCAGCAAAAGCCTGCAAAGGGTTGGAAATTAATCAAAGTGCTGATGTACAAAATGCATCGAAAGTTTGAAAAAAAATATTCGGACATAAACATTTTCGGAGAAATAACCTAGCAAAGCCTTTCATTTTAGGTCTGCTGTTTGCCCTCTTCATTTTTTCCCCATGGATTTTCTTTGTGTGTGTGTGTTAAACATCACATTCGAAGTGCTACTGGTCACTAAGCAATCAAGGACACAGCCCGGAGCAAAAGAATACAATGACACTGTGCAGTTTGCTATGGACCCAACACAAACCACGATGTCAGCGCAAATAAAAAGAAAGAGAGAAGCCAACAAGAGTGGAGGATGGAACTACTGGGGACAGGGACAAGTAGCAAATGCAAAAGGAATCATAGCTATCTGCTGTCAGTGTGTTTAATGGGCATTGCAAAATGCTAATGTGTTATTTTATTAAGCCAACAAAGGTGAAAAAAGACATTAGCGGGTCTCTGTCGCCCTCTTTAAAACCACTTACTGTCCACCCAGATAAAAGTTCTCTCTCTGTTAAAAAAAAGTCTGTGTGAATTCATCCTCTGCCCGTCTCGAAGAACAAAGGCAGTAAAGTATCATCCAGCAGCGTGAGAGCTGCTCTCATCAAGGTGAAAAGTGACAAATCCCGATCAACACCAATTAGAGAGCAGTGAGTGATTCTAACTATGCATTTTGCTTGATAGTTTATAAAATGCATACGCATAGAATGTTTTGGTTTTTCATGCTGGAATATGTTACACTAAGACTATGAAATCGGAATAACACACTATGTCTGTAACCATGGCAACCACATGCAGGTAATGAACCCATCAAGGATCAGACCTCACCGGATGCCATTATGATCAAGAACAAATGGACTTAGTACTTTAACATTTCTAGGTTTAGTTCTAATTTGTTTAGTTAGGTCCAAGCTCCAAGACATATTTTAGAAATCCAATAAATAATCATGACTCAAGTTAAGATATTCTCTTTTAAAATGCTGACTACTTATTAGGGGACCAACTGCACCCAGCTTCAACCGCATCAATGTCATGACCCTCTTATCATTTTAGGATAGTTATGTGTCTCCTAAGTTTAACGTTTTGTGATTTATGGAAGATCGCGTGCACACACACATCTCAGAGCACACACTCCCTCCCACCCACTCACTGTCTCCCGGACACACTCCCGGCTAATTGGGAGTCGCCCCTCGCTGACCTCCCATCACCCGCAAAGAGTCATCGCCATGACAGCGGAGTCCGGCTCATTATCTCCAACACGGGTCGGCCTCGTTGAGGACCGCACCTGGATGACATCATAGCAAATCCAAAGTCCACGTTGTCAGGGCAACCACAATTTGGCACCCAGAACTTGGCACGGCTCCGCTCTGTGGGGGATTGATTGGGTGAGCAATGCAGAGAGGTGGATTAAGAGGAGTATTATTGTCTCCCTTAGAGCAGAGGGACATGCAGATTCTTGGCGTTGCCAGAAAGTGAGAGGACCGTGGGCTCACGAAAATGGTGTTGACAGACCTGACCCCAACCTGCCTTAACACAGAGATGAAAGATGCCTCCCATTAAACCCTCCCTCATTAATCTGCTCCTGTTTGCAGTGATTAAAGAAGAAGTTGGCTGGTTGAGCAGTTATGAAGCTAAACTAAATGTCATTATTTGACTCCAAACCCTAGAATAGATAGGGTCTTTGTCTCTAAAATGTCTTTTTTTTTCCACAGCCAGGTGAGAACCCTGGCACAATATATACGTGCAAAGTGATTTGGCAAAAGGATTCTTCCATCTGTAAAGTGCACACTCAACCACAGAACGAAAAGAACAAATCTCAAGTGACAAAAAAGATGTCCAGCAAACAGCCATTATCCCGTCCATATACAGCGCTCTGCTTTTCTCTCTTTTCTGCAACAGAGGGGAGAGGAAAAGCACTCAGTGGCTAAGACAGAAAAGCAAAGTGCTGCTGTTACTGGCCGGCGTCCATTAGTGGAGCGGCCTGCCTCTCCAGTGGAGGCTGTGCAGAGGATATGCTGGTAGTCCCAAGGTTTTTACGTTTCCTCTATAAGAATGACAAGTGAGAACAGTAAACACAAAGCACTGGGAGTGGAGACGAGAGGAAAGAAACGATTATCCAAACAAACAAACCAAAAAGCTCACAGCGACTGGAGGGATTCAAAATTAGTTTGTGTGGGTACAATTATGGACATACACTGGGAAAAAAATTAGCAACCATGCAATATTTGAGTTGGTAAAACAAACAGAAAAGAAGCATCTTAGATCATTTTAATGATGCTAGCAATCCTATTTCAACAGAAACATTTAATAGTTGCATGAAGTGATCATGATTGGAATCCAACATGGATGTGCCTGTATGACAATGTTTGGCTGATTTAAAGCATCACAAGGCAGAAAAAAGTCCCCCCATGCTGCATGTGCTCACTGATGCAATTCCCCTGACTGGCTCCACTCCACTTAGAGTTAAGCTCCCTGAAGTTTCCCGATTTTCCTCCAGTACCTTCCTTCAGAGGAGTTGCGACCCTAATAGAGCTAGTCAGAAACTACTGGTGTGGAGACCTGGGCAGAATGCAGAAAGTTTGAGAGTGACAGTAACTCCACATCTGTCAGGTGACAGAAGTGGAGTTAACATTCCTCCTTACCTTTTTTCCACCGGAATGTTTCTTTTAGGAAAGTGGAATAAACTGTTGTGTACTTCCAAAACCGGGGAAGAATGCATTACATGAATAAACTATAAGGGCACTCAGGGAGCACAGTCCTGTGGACATCTGCCCTATGTTGCAATTTTAAAGTAATTCTGAGCTCAACCAAAATTGTTTTGCCATTACTTTCTACCCAGTTTTATCTTTAAATCTTCTTATGCACACCAATTCCATATGATTGGACATTGTTGTTTTGTATATATATTTTTAAATAATGAGTTAATGTAGATCAAAACTTAAGTTTGAATGGGCCTGGAAAAAAGTAGTTAATCCTAAAAACGTTGCATTAATTTTAAAACAATTAAAAGGAACAACTAATTTACAAAGTGACCAACAGGTCCAACTCTAGATAATTGACAAATATGCAGTAGGCTCCAAACTCAGTGTGTTGGATCATATTCTTTCCATCTTAAAATGTCTTTTTTCCACTTCAGCTTTGGTTGAAAATGTGGTCCTCTAGTTTTTGCATATCTATTCAGTGGTGCGGGGCGGGGGGGGTGGATAGTGGGGATGGGTGGGGTGGGTGGGATGTGGCAGGTACCTGCTGTGATAGGAATCAGACGCTGCAACAACTGGAACACAATGGCACGGTAACACAGAGTCTCGCTCTTCACAAGTCTCTGTGTCTCAACAAGGTTATCACCAGAGATTATCAGGTTAGGACCACGGTTGGCTGGTTCGTGTCACGAGTGGCTTCACAGAAAGAAAAAAAAAAAAGAACAGAGTATCTCTGTTGTCCCACACTGGCATTTTCTATCACATTAGACCAGAGTCGCTCTAATTCTGCTACTATTGGCCCGAACAGGAGAAGGTGAACGTTTCTGACTTGGGAATAGCCTTGGAGAAAATAGAATTATATTCTTATTGACCAAGCATGTTTGTCATTGATGATACTATCTGTCACAGCTATTCTTTTGATGCAGTTTGGCAGAAAGTCTGCCGGCAAATCTAAATAATATAAGCACTTATAAGAGCAACATTACACACCAATGCTGCCTCAAAAGTGGGTCACTGGATGGCCAATACTAATTAATATGCAAACCGCCTATATGCTGTATATATGGCAGCTGTAAAATGCTTGATGGTTTGGTCTCTAGTGGATGATCAGTCCTCTGCATTTATTGCCCCCAACTCTGTTCTCATTGATTGATTTAAGAGTCATATCTCATCAAATGGCTCTGAACACTTTAATCACTCATATTTAAATGCAGGTGGCCTCCTAAAATATTTACTGTTAAGTGACAGAATCAATTGATGGCTGTTTTGTTTCTCACAGTATCTGTCATTTCAGAATTGCAGTGTTTCTTCATCTAATTTTGTTCCAGGCTTAAGACAGAGATAATTGTATTTGCACAAGTATTACATCTTCTTCTTTAGCTTTGGACTGGAAAGAGGAATATTTTCCTTCTGAGTCTTGTGTAGGAAGCTATATGTCCTAGATAAGTCAGTGAGAGGCCATTAGAAGTTTGTCCACATCACATGTATCATCTTATGAATATAAAAACTTAATGAAGCCTGTTGAGGCAGAAGCGGCCGAGGCAAGTCTTCGGAAAAGGATGATAGCACGCTCCCAACACTTCCCTGAACCGTGGCAGAGTGCATCACTTTTCAGGCTTTCCTCCAGGGATGCAGCTCTAAGGGTCATTCTACCATCTATCTCCAATCTCTGGCAATTAGGCAGAGAAATGGAGAGAAAGAGGTTAGAGAAATGGGAGATGGTGGTGGGGTGATAAGGGGTACTGTATCCCAGAGAAGCCGTTGAATGTTCTCTGAAGATTCCCCTTCCCGTAATGCTGCTCAGCATGTAACCAGATTGCTACATTAGGGGAAGGAAGCTTTTTGATCAGTTAAATGTTGTGTGACGAGAACACAGGCCAGTGGTTTGACGTGTGTGTGTGTGTGTGTGTTTTAAGTGTTCAGAGCCCTGCATTGAGATGTTGAAAACCTAACTTGGAGCAGTCAGTGAACAAACTGCATGTGCTCTGGCAAACTAGATGAAAACTGAATAAGAGAAGGTGATGCTGGGCTCATGTTTAAAGAAAACAGCTTTCCATTAGAATGCTGAGAAAGGCCTCTAATGTCATGTTGAGTATCAAAACTACTGTAAAGAAATGTTGTAGCACATGCTAAATACACATGCATTGGAATATACCAACAAGAAAAGCCACCCTGAGTATACAACCATATTTTGAAATGATCCAAGAACCATAAAAGTGACAGTCTCCCTTAATAATGACAACTCCTAAGTCACCTGCTAACTTAATATCTGAGAGCAACAGCAGAGGGACTAGCATCAAATAAAGCAACGCTAATAACTGCTGTTCTTCCTGAGCAGGAAACCCAGCACAAGTTAGTAAAAATGCCACGCCAGGAGCCGTGGTGTGTTCCCAACAGGTGTTGTTGTCGGCTTGTGTTAGGCTAATGTACCACAGGGAAAGCCTGCAGTAATTAAGACGTTCAGCAGGCCTGCTCAAACTGTTTTTACTGTAGATGGAACTATTACGTCTGGAGGTGTTTCTGTCTGGAACAGCTTTATTTGGCTCTGGGACAAAATGAGAGTTATGGAAATCTCCAGTGCTCCTGAGGGAGAACGGACAGTGTCCCAATTCCAGCAGCCAGTGTTTGAACATCCACTCCCACCAATCCTTATTCTGATTCTCCTCTTAAATACCAAGACTACTGGACATTGAATAGGAAGGATAAGGAACTTAGTCTGACATTTCACTGTCTGCCATAACCCCAGGCCTGTTGTAGCCATCAAAACAGAACTTTGTATCAGGATCTTCAACGGAGACGGAAAATAATGGAGCTGTGTGAGTATCTCAGCACAGGTAGCAGAAGGATCCCGTGTTTGCCAGGTCACAGGGCCGAAATTCACAGATAATTAGCGCTCGCAGACATAAATGCTGAGATATAATAATCTTGGCAACGTGATGAATGAGATGAATCACTCCACGTGAAGAGCAGAAAAAGGCCTTATTAGACTCAGGATGTGGGAGTGTTTTCTGCTACCAACACACGCAGAAAGATGCTCTTTATCCGTCCACATGCCCTGCTGACGGCCGGGGGGGGGGGGGGGGGGGGGGACCTACATTTTAGCCCGTCCAAACATGCCAACGCAAAGGCAGCACAAAGACGCGACGCGATGAGCCGCTGTCACGCGTAATAATCTTACGAATATCGCTCAAATTTAGGTCAATCAGAAAGTAAGAGCGATTTGGCTGCAGCCAGCCCGCCGTTGCGCTCTCCCTCCCCGCTGCTACCAGCCCCACACACACCCCGGCCTCCTATGGATGGATGGATGGATGGATGGATGGATGCACGGCGAGTTGAGATGAAATAGAGGGCGGGAGGAGGGGTGGTGGTGGTGGTGGGCTTTCCATTTTCAGTCCGTGATCGATGCCCGGCGCACCGCAGCCCTTCGCGGCAAATAATATACAATCCCCATCACACCTCAGGGTAAAGTGCCATACGAGGAAAAACATCTGGCACACACTTCAACCGAAACACAACATCCAGCATATATTCCCAGCACACCGTCACAGCCATTCAACCCGTTTTTTTTTATGTCAAGCATTCGCTCAGATGGGGAGGCGTGAAACACGCAAAATGAGGGGAAGTGGGATGACATTGCGCCTGCTTACTGTAAAATAAATTCCCCCGGGGGATGGAGAGCCTCTCCTTTCTTCCCTCTCGACTCTCCTCCTTTCCGACGTGCGAATTTCCCCCGAAATTTTAGACCATGCAAAACAGGTAGTCAGTCATTCCACCCCCCTTCCGAAGTACTCGCTCCTGCTCCGTCGCGTGGGGAAAGGGGAGCCAGCATCCGCGTGAGGAGAGAGCCAGCTGTGGGGAGGAAATGAGGAAATGAGGAAGGAAGGAAGGAAGGAAGGAAGGAAGGAGCGGCCGGGCCGGAGCACTGCGCACAGGAGAGGAGGCAAGGAGAGCGGCAGAGGTGCTTCACTCCCTCTCTCTCCAAGTTCACAACACAACATCCCCCCCCATCCCCGCCAGACAGACTCACAGACGGCCGGGTACCAGCGCCAGCAGCGACCCCCAGCGGTGATGCGAGGGACTGCAGCATGAGGGGCTGTTAGTGCCCTGAACAGCAACAGCTGCTGGGGGGGGGGGGATTATATTATTCTGCAGGGGCCTCTGGGCAATATTTAGCTGAAAAAAATCGTTAGTCACAGTTATGTAGATCTGCAAAAAGGCCAAGATGATCTTCATTAATGGTCCTGAAGATGGTCAGGTTGGATCCAAAATAACTTGGGATATTGTGACAGCGCACACACCACTTCATCAAAAGAACGAAAAGTGACATTAACTGAGATATGGATTCAAATTTCTTATAGCAACACAATGTGCTGACATATGCAACTCTCAAGTTGCTCAAACTGCTGAAGATCTAAACATAGGCAAATCTGAATCCTACATAACAGGCCTGCCCAATCAGTTATGAATACCTTTATTATTTTAATAAATGCATATGAAGTTAACCCATAAAACACATTTTGTACATTTTAAATGCAAATAAAGAATTCAGAAATCACAACAAGCCTACACGGACAAATATTCTAGATGATTTCACAGCCGATTTACAAACAAGAACAAGAATCCAGCCGGCGTATCAACAGAAGTGACTGTGACTGGACATCAGTAAACATAAAAAGCATGGACTGACCGGTGTCCTGGCACAGTGACCCATGGATTTAATGTGTGATATACCAGCTGCGCCACATCCAAGAAGAAATAATTGCAGTGGGTCATTAAGATGGCTCTGTGGATCATCGCCCCCCCACTTCCACGAAGAGAGGAGATCAACTCAAGCTGTCTCCTCCAACGAACCACAAAGATCTGCAGCAAACCCAGTCCATGACTGGACACATGGCTGCATATGCTGCATTCAGGTCCTCATTATTGGAACCTTAGCCTGTAAAGCAAATAATACGGTTTGTTCATTATCTAAACAGCAATATATGCTGGGAAACATCATTATTAAATTGGACTTAAAACGTTTCCATTTCTCAAGGTTCTTTTAGACTTTTGAGCTGAGCAGCAATTCAAAGTTTAACAAGTGCAAAAATAGCTATTTAATTCTAATGAATTCACCCATTTGTTCTTTCATTTTAAATGCATTTATTCAGATAAGTACAGGAGGCATTCTTGTAGAAAAAAATCCAAAAATCCTCCAAGACAAGAGAAATTCTATAATAACATATTTCTACCAACCCATTAGAAAAGCCTCTTTGTGCCAGCAAAGAGCAACAATCCCTCAAACCCCAGTGTCTATGTGGTGATACAACACCACATCCAGCAGCTTAATGGAAACCACCAAGAAGCAACATCTCATTTCCATCACATCTGGATGATGGTTTGTGACACCAAATCTCAGTGATATTGTCTCATGCATTCCTGCCAATGGAGACAAAACACCACCCCCTTTGTTAAACTGGCTAAACTAACACAATGCATTCAGAATCAGATGCTAAATCAAGACAAAGCCTCTACAAGAGGGAGTTGGGCCACAAAAGAACGCTCTAAAAAAGTTTGTAGCCTGGTTGAATCGAGGGAGTCAGAGAATATCCAGATCCTCTCACTCTTGTCTATCTGTAGATCATCTATATTCGTCTCCGCCTCATTCTGCCTCTATTCTCTCTGCTCCCGCAAGTGTAACATTTCTTTGTTCATTCAGCTGTAAGCTCTTTCCAAATGCCACTGTCAGCGATGTCAGCAGACAAATAAATCTTGCAGACAATGTTCTCATATGAACCGTTTGCTTCATTGAACAAGCAATGGCTCTGGATTTTCAAATTAACCACATAACACAGGCAAAATGTCATACTGTGATGCTTGAAGAAGCAATCACTGTTATTTAAAGCTAACACTCAGGAATCTCTAAATAGAAGCTTCTGCATCTATGCTGCTTGAGCATTCAATCTTGAAAATTGCAAGGACTGTAATTAATGCATATATGATTCTGTCTTCTTATTTATTTGCTGTCCTATTAAGTTATCCTTGCAGTAAACTTGGAGCTATTCTTGTCTGTGGCCTATCATCTGCTGCTCTAATGACCTGACATGTCCATGGGTAACATTAAAGCTTTATCTGACCCAACCTAAAAATTGGAAGTCCCCTAAAGCGAGGCACTTGTCTGCTGGAGTGGAGCGGCTCATTGTTCAGCAGCGGGGGGGCTCGTTTGCATGAGGAAGCTGCTTGCAGGTGTCGGCAGGGATGTGAGCCTGAGCGCGAGGCAGGACACCACAATAACTAACACACACACACACACACACACTGACCTATATCCAGCTGAGGCCGGACCATGGCGTAAGATGGTCTGTGCCCAAACAGGTTTTGGATTTTAGAACTGTGTTTGATTAGAAGTCAAAATTGATCTTTTTATTCAATAAAAATGCACATGCATACACCGAGGAAACTTTGACCTAAAGGTCAATATGAAGTCTGTTTGGTCCCAAACTATAGTAGAGTCAGTAAAGAAAAAAGTATACACTAACTGTATTACTCTGTGGTGATTAAATATTGTGGTAAAATGCAATTAACTGTCCTTGATCTGTTCAAAGTCTGGCTGTTTTTCTTAATGAATAAATAAAGAAAAAATGTGTTCATTTTTGTAGAACAGGTTACTTGTTACATTTGAAGTAAAAACAAAAAACAGAATCGAGCCAAACAGATACCTCAACCATCACTGTTAACAGCACCACTCATCCACTTATAAACATTACTTTTTGAAAGAAAAACCTTCTTAAGGAAAGATGTTTGTGAAGGCCTTTGCCAGCATTACATCATTCTTTGTGCAAGCCCCTGTGATTCCACCCTGGAGAGCAGGCTACTTACTTTCTTTCATCAGCATGCTGTTAATCATCTGTCCACACAAAGGATCTGTCTTGCTTTTCTCTTTTCATTTTGTCACAGGTCTAATAAAAAGCAATAGTTTTTGGCTTCAGGTGAATCAGTTCAGCAGACATGGACAGAAGGTGGTTCCTCTGTGGTTTCAGGTAATTTCTGAGAGCTGCATTGCCACCTGCTGGACAGTTATTGTTTGATTTTCACAAAACTAATGTGAATTATTTTCTCTAAAGCATGGAAATCATCACTTCTGTTAAAAAAAAAAACTATGGATTAAGAAAATATTCTTTAGTGGAGAACATTGTACTTCTTACATGAAGAGATTGGAGCATAGATCTCATCATGGTTTGACAAGAGCATGAGTTAACTCACATATTAAAACTCACATGAGTTAATACACATTTTGAGAAAGGTTTGGTTTTTGAAAATTCTGCCTCAGCTTAATGAAACATCCCGCCTTTTAGAGCCATTTTTTATTAACTTTGACAGTTTACATTGCTCCAGATTTTAATTTCCTCTCTTGCTACAGTCCCATAACTTCTTATAAGATATAAAAGAATAAAGTACCATTTTGCTCTGATATTAAAACTTCTAAACCCACACACCTCTACAGTAAAAGGTCCATAATAACACATTATTTGAACCTAATTACTGGCTCTGTCTGCACCAATGAATAAATGCCACATGGGCATCTTTAGAGGCCCACGTGATCACAAACTAAACTTTAGAAATGATTAAACTGATGCAGAAGAAATTTGTTTTGTTTTATTGCGTAAAAGAGCAAAGCACATTATAGATAAACATCTAGAAATGAAACAGTAATTTGGAAGACCACTCCTCAATGTATCATAATCTGACCGTGCTTGATTTGACTAATATAAATTAAACTGAGTTTGAGTTACCTTAATATTCAAGGAAGTTTAAAAAGTTGTAGCATGACTGACAAATGCATTAAAAACAAAACAGCCTCTCAATAGTAGACCTGCTTCTAAGTGATTTCAACAGAAAGCATCAGCAACTGTAATTTACCAGTGACAGTGACCAACTGCTTTCTGTAAATTACATACATTTATGTGACCCACATTTTACAGTTTACACATGTACTTATTTTAATTGGTGAGTATGTAGAAAGGTCTCCTGTCAGCTCATGCCTCCATGTCTTCCACCAGCAGAGCTGAGGGTAAACACAAAGCTTTTTAAAGGTAGAGAATTGTGTCCTGATGAAATAGGAAAACAGAGCACAGTAATGCACATGGGCATTAAGCCAGGCTGTGAAATCCCCATCCTGTTGTGTGAAACACTGCTTAGAAATAGACAGGAAGTGTCCCGTTTTTAAAAGAAATTGATCAGATAAATGGAAAAAGGAAACTGTCACCATTGGATATGCAACTCGTTTTCTTTCTTTTTGCGTTTCCCAACTCAATGTTATCACTGTATTGGCCAAAAAGAAAGTATATGGCGTTTTGTTTATGTGTCTGTTTTTAAACGAGGTGAACCTGAACGCCTCACGCGCCTCGGTGCTGCTTAGTGCTTTCTCCTCTCATCCTTTTGTGTCCGTCTGCCGTCCAATCAGCAGCCGGAGCGGGCTCCCGGCCGCTGATTGGCCACAGAGGAGGAAGATGCGCTGTCCGCTCAGAGTGGACTGAGGACTTTCCAAACGTCCGGCCGATGTGACCGATAATCGGCTTTTTCATGCCCGGACAGGTCGACTGTGGCTCTGTTCGCCCGGTATCACCGGCCCGGCCCCGCTGACGGTCCCGGAGGATTTTCCCGCCTCTCCTCGCGCCGCTTTGCTCTTGTTTGTGCTTCCGGATTGTCTGGGATTGTGTCGGCCCCGTTGCGCCGTTTTGGAAGAGAAGTCGTTCCCCACAAAATGTAGCTCCGGGGTGTCGCACCAAGCGTTGTCACGTAAAGGTAAGAAAAACGGCTCCAAACGGGGGGGAAACAGCAGCGGGAAATGAGGCTGGAGTTGTTGTGGGAGTTGGGAATCCCCAGCCTTTGGTTTCGGGCCTTCAGCGGTGCTGCCATGATGATGATGATGATGATGATGATGATGGTTTCCTGCAGCTGGTAGGGAGCAGGACCCAGCCTGGGCTTCCCTTGTAAACAGAGAGCAGCTCTACAGAGGGGGTCCCAAGTCAGTTCTGGTGGGGGCTCCAGGGCTCCTGGGGAACCAGGTATCCGGGGCTCTGGGGGGTCTGGGGTTCCGGGTATCCGGGGCTCCTGGGATCCAAGGGTCCAGGGCTCCAGGGCTCAGGGTATCCGGGGCTCTGGGGGGTCTGGGGACTCCAGAGCTGTGGGGCTCCAGGGGATCCGGGCACCTGGGGGGCTCCTGGGCCCCAGGGCTCCAGGGGCTCCAGGTCTCCAAGTATCTGGGTCTCTGGGTATCTGGGTCTCCAGGGCTTTGGGGTATCCGGGGATCTGGGGGGTCTGGGGGCTCCAGGGAAACCGGGGCTCCGGGACTCCAGGTCTCCAAGTATCTGGGTCTCCAGGTCTCTGGGTCTCCAAGTATCTGGGTCTCCAGGTCTCTGGGTCTCCAAGTATCTGGGTCTCCAGGTCTCTGGGTCTCCGGGTATCTGGGTCTGCGGATATCTGGGTCTCCGGGTATCTGTGTCTCCGGGTATCTGGGTCTCCGGGGCTTTGGGGGCTCTGGGTCTCCGGGTATCCAGGGCTCTGGGGTCTCCAGGGCTCTGGGGCTCCAGGACTCCAGGGCTTGGGGTATCCAGGGTCCGGGGGATCCAGGTCTCTGGATATCTGGGTATCCAGGTCTCTGGGTATCCAGGTCTCTGGGTATCCGGGGCTCTGGCTGGTCTGGGGGCTGCGGGCGGTGTGTGGTGTGTGTTGGTGGACAGGCGGCTGCTCTGTGTTCCAGGCGGGCGTAGTGAAGGATGCGGGAGCCATGTCGGATGTGGAGGCCACGTACGCGGACTTCATCGCCTCCGGCAGGACGGGGCGCCGGAACGCGCTGCACGACATCCTGCAGAGCCCCACCGACCCCGAGGGCCGGGAGCTGCCCCTCACCCTGTCCCTGTCCCAGCTGCACATCAACGCGGGGGGGGGGGGGGGGCCGGGGCCCCGGGGGGGGGGGGGGGGGGCGGGGACCTCGGTAAGACAGAAAACTGACCTGCAGACCCCAAAACGAAGCGTGAAAAGCAGCTATTAACGTATTATAAGTTAATGCGTAGCGTATTTTGTACATTTTCTGAATTCCTCACAGTAAATAAAACATACAGTGGGGGAAATAAGTATTTGACCCCTTTCTAATTTTGCAGGTTTGCCCACTTACAAAGAATGAAACGATCTATAACTTTAATCATATGTACATTCTAACAGTGAAAGACAGAATCCCAAAGAAAATTCCAGAAAATCACATCATATGAATTTATAAAAATTGATCACCATCTAATAAAAAAATAAGCATTCTTTGTAAGTGGGCAAACCTGCTAAATCAGCAAGGGGTCAAATACTTATTTCCCCCACTGTAATTAAATGTCTAATCAACAAAACAGGCCCCCAAACAGAGCAGCACAGGAACAGCAGAAGGATTGGAGCCCTAAAACAACAAATAAACCAGTTCTACCTGCTCCTCCAGATAGCTGAACTCTGCGGGGGTCCTCACACAGGTGTGGGCGCCCCCCCCAGCAGAGAGCAGGACACAGAAAAGGCTGACACATGCTGAACATCACATGATGGGAAGAAGAGTTCAGTTCTCCCCCCTCGGCCTTTCAGTTCTCTTTTTTTCTCCTTTGCTTACTGTTATGTCCCTTAACCCCGCTGGCCCCCGGAGGCTGTGGGATGATGTTGAGTGACCGGTAGTTTGAACGTGGACGGTGGGCGGGGGGAAATGACCCTGCTGCTGGTTTTGCAGACGGAGACGACGCGGAGGACAGCCGCAGCTCGCCGGCCTCGGCCCAGAGGGACGCCCAGCAGAGGAACAGCTAGCAGGGGGGGCCGTGTGTGCGTCCGGAGGGGGCCTGAGGCCGGAGGGTAGGGCCAATGCTGCTGGGAATGCCTCTAAGTGGAGCAGTGACCCCCCCCCCACCCAGATCCACCACAGAGGTTCTGCTCCTGGAGGCTCTTCTGTGATCCAGAATAACTACGGTGCTTTTCAGAGAACACAGAAAGAGACATTTGTAGCTCTCTCCAAGCTAACTTTACTTAAAGTCTTAGTTGTCACACACACACACACACATACATACAAACACACACACACACACACACACACACAGTCACAGACTGAAGGAGTAAAACAAAGAGAGGACTCCTCACTGAGCTTTGTGGGTTTGGAGGAGCTAGCTCAGAGGGAATAGCCGTTAGCGCCCGTTAGCGGAGCAGGTGATGCTAGCAGGGACTGTTCATGGCTCCTGCTTTCTTTGAATTAACTATGTAGGTGAACAGAGATGCTTTATGAGCCGAAGTGCGTTCACTGATTCTGTTTTTTTACGATAGAAAGCGACAAGTTTTAGCACGGCAGAATAACGAGGACGTCATTCGGTGGTTCAAGAAGTGGCGATTCCGAAGGCTCAGTCAGAGTGTTTATACTTCTTTTTTAAGGTTTTCTAATAATGCTATACATACCGCATTTTAGGAGTAGTTGGTCCATTTTGTAAATGTGTTTATTTTCATGTCTAGTCAAGGATTAAATGAGAGGACGCATCTGTGATTTTCAACTGGAGTCCAAATCCTACCTTCACATCTAAAGTCCACTTGCTAACATAACATGAAACTTTTTGTTTTTTCACTAAGCAACAGGAACAAAACAGATGTGAGCATATATATAATGTGCAAAGCAACTGGATAACAGATATCTCAGTGTGCTTCCTCACACCTGAAACTGCATTATCTGTAAGTGGATGAGAAGATTATTTCCCTCTAATACCAAAGCGTCCGTAGTAGAAACCATGTGCTTCAAAACTGAGAAGCTGGTGGCCACTTCCCAAAAAAAAAAGGTTAGAAGCAAATGTGATGAAAGTTATAATTGAGTTTAAATTCATGTTGGACAGGACATACATTTCCTGGACGCTGTTAAAAAACACAGAGTTGATTTATTCTTCTGTTGTTCATTTGTGAGCTTTGACTGTGTTTTAAAGTGTGATCGTTACTGTGACTCACTAAAAGTTCAAAGGTCTGCGTCCTGAGGGGTTCACAGAGCCAAACACTGTTCCTGAACCTTATTTACCCACTGTGACTTTGCCTGTTCGGGTTTTGGACTGCTAATTTTATGCCTAGAGTTTTGACTGTGGCTTTTTTAAAGAGTCTGTAATGTGTGAACGGAGGATGTCACAGAACCTACCCGTAACTCAACATCAAAATGGGCTTGAATATTTTTTTTTTACTAGGAATAGATTTAAGTTGAAAAATATATAGCTGCATTGATGAAAATACTGAAAACAGAAATCCTTTTGGATAAATTATTGCTGTAGTAATGCATTGAATTACAGGATTTCTAATGGAAATTTACACTACATCTCACCACAAGAGTCGCCCTCTGGTGGCTGTTAGGAAGAATGCAACGTTAATCTTTACAGGAAATGATCCAGTAATCTAACAAAAAGTTACATTACAACAGAGGGCAGGGCTGCAGGATCCCAAATGTTGGTGTAACAAAGAGAATAAATAGTAATTTGGCAAATGTAGAGATGTAAACTAGTGTAATCTCAGTTTAGTTAGCATATCCCCAGATCCCACTAGCTGCCAGTCTTTGGTTTTGAGACAACAGTTCTGTGAGGTTCAGTTTGGCAGCACTGTCAAATGAAAGGTAGTGATTTTTTTTATTCAAATAAACTACGGAACCTTCTGAACCATGATATCACGAGCACACCACTTTCAAAATTCAACAACAAACTCTAGAGGCCACACACACAAGGCCAAATTGAAAGGAAAACCCACTTCCTTGTTCGTGGAATGCTTTGTGTCAATAACAGTGGATCCATTTTGACCTGACACACTTTACTTTGTTTCCCGTGTAGGTGTTTGAGCTCGGGCAAACAAAGTGAGTGTGCTCTCTCTGTCTTCCCGTCTATTGGTTTCCCGGTGGTAAAATGGTGGTACCATTTTACAGAATGGGCTCACATTTCTCTTTAGCTGTGAGTCAACACTCAGCTGACCGGCTACGTGTTAGCAGTCCAAATTTAGCAGCTTCTGATCTGACAAACCAGTTTTATTTCACTCTTCAGAAACATTAAAACCTTCCCGGCAGGTTCATCCCAAAGTCAGAGGAACTTAAAAAGGAAAATAAAAAGATACCTGTCAGACTCTATAGGCAATAGATAAAGCAGAAAATATTGTAGGTAGTGCCACACACACTGCTTCCACGTTTCCGCTTTTCAGCTTTTGTTCCACATTGTGTAGCATTTCATGTTCACCTGATGCTGCGTTCCCTTTATGTCAGTTCACGTCAAGCAGTGATACGGAGCCTATGATTCTTATTATGACTGAATTTTGTAAAAAGCTTTGAGCTAAAAGAGGATCTACTTTCTTTTCCCACACCACATAACCCACATAAGAGAGGTATGGATCTATTCTTTAAGTCTCAGCCGTAATTACTGTAAGAACATTTCCCTTAAGTGTCACACTATTCCTAAATGTCGATATGCAATACTCAGCGGAGCTTCCAGGACCTGTAGCATCTGTCTTTTTGTGTGACACCGAGGCCGAGCTGCATTCCACCCCCCGTGTGATATCTCAGCCTTTATACAGGCCATCGTGCATGCTCTTAGAGTCCCGATCCCTGTTCCTCTCCACGTCCTGAGACACCGCGGCTTAAGTTGGACTCATTCATAGCGAGGATATTCTAGGAGGCAAACGTAGCTCTTCTTTTGTACCCTCTATTCCACGGGGTGCTGGAGTTGTGGAGACATGTGACTGGTGGCTGTTCATTATTTAGCATGTAGGTGTCGAGCAGCTGCATGGGTCTGCTGTACGTGGGGCTTTTCATTGGACTGTCTGTAAACACTTCCTAAAGAAAATCAAATAAACCAGACATGAAAAAAGAGGGGCAGGCTCCTGTGTTGCTTTGTGTGGAACTCAGCAGGTGGGAGTGTGCCAGCTATGGCAAAGCCAAAACACTAAAATATGCTTCAAATTCAAGGTGTGTGTACATTGCTTTAATGGTAACATTAGGCATACTGTGAGGGCAGTGTTTGAAATAGAATTAAATATTTAAATCAGCCATATGAGTAACTAGAGCTAGAATTCCTCTAAAAAATGCATATGGGAAACTTGACATCAACTTTAATAAATGCAGTGTTTCCAGCTTTTGTCTGGTTGTAACACACTCAGTTTTTCCCATGTGTGTCCAAAAATGTGTGTGTGTGTGTGAGAGAGAGAGAGAAAGAGAGAGAAAGAGAGAGAGAGAGAGCTGCTCATTATGCAAATAATGATTAGACAATTGTACCAGGAAGGAAAAAATCCCCCGACTACTTTAGCCAAGTTCCTCATTCTGGCATAAAGTGACTAACTGTCAAATGTGTGCGAGTGTGCAGGCGCTCGCTGATGAGAAGCCCAGAGAAGTTCTCTGAGGACGACAAGCATTAAACACGCTGGATTAACGGTTTCCTTCAGCAGGAAAACGCGGTTTGACAGGTGAGTACTGATGGGTGGTGTGGCTGTGAGTGAAATGAGAGAGAGACGCAGACACAAAAACTAAAAAAATAAATGATCGTCTCTTTTTTGGAGAGGAAGGGGTCATGATAAATGTAATCGACAGGTTGATTTAGTGAACTAGATTCCTGTTACACAGCTTGTGACTAAATTGGCAAGTCACTTATCTGTGTTTTTCTTTAGTTTTGTCAGGCCAGAGGAGTCAAACTCAGTTTAATCAACACAAAGCCGGATTTTAATGCAGGTTCAGAGATTTTGCAATTTTTCAATATCTTTTAATATATTTAAACCCCACACTTTTCTCCTCTGCTCCCTTTTGTTTCACTGCACTGCTAAAGGGGGAAGTTTGTGTGTTGGTCATGGTGGGGGTGTTCCATTTAGACCTTCATTTTCCGGCCGTTTGTTCAATATCAAGTTAAAAATACATACAGAGGTGCTGCGATGACACAGATGGAACCCAGCCAGTAAACAGTAAACAGAAAGAAGAATAAAGAGGACTAGCACCAACAGCTGCAATCGAGTTTGTTTCACAATTGAAAATAATTCTCTGCTGCATTTCTTTGAATTACTTACCCAGATTTTGACAAATGAGCTAAGATGGAAAGACACAGATTTTCTAGGTGTTTGTCTGTTAAACGGTTACTGGTGCCCTTTTCTCCCTGACATGCAAACTCTTGTAATGATCAATGCACCAGCACGAACATTTGGATAGAAATGTCTCGATAGAAAAATATAAATCTCCAATCAATGTCACCAAATGTCACCAAATTCAGTTGCATTTCTATTTCTATTATGCTTTATTTCTTCGGCCTCGGGGTTTGCATTTGATTATTCGATTTACCAAAATCATAAAAGCTTTTCAAACTTTGCTTGCAGCTAAACTCATGATCTGACTTTGTGTGTCCTCTTTGCTCTCATCAAACTGTCCAACGCTGACAAAAACAGAAGCTTCACCTAGATTTATAGTCTTTGCTTTGTTGTCAAAAGCATTCTTATCATGTTTCCTTGTGGCATGGAAAAATATGACTCCATAAAAGTCTCAACCGACATCAGAAATTATTCACAAAATAGCCTGTTCAATAAAGTCTCAGTGACTCTCAAAGAGCAAGCTGAAGGCAAACTGCTTGGAATCGGTCTGTCTGATTTCTTGCATTGATTACACATTGATTAGAAATCCAATACAGCAATTTCCCCTCTGATTCTGTTGAACAAAACCATATCCCTGCTTTTACATAGAAGAACTGAGAGGTCACAGGTGTTGATGTGCAGCTGTCTGCTCCACTCTTCCTTTTTCTCTCACTTCCTCATGCATCCAGGATGGGCTGTTTGAAGTCCACGCTGAGTGTGAGCAGTGGTGTGGAGGACAAAAACAACCAGCAGCCCGGACCTGATGGCCAAAAGCCCTCCACCACAAAAAACAACACTGTAAGTAGACAGCCGGGAAAAGATAGAGCAGAATTTACTACTGTCAGAAAAGCAAAGAAAAGCAATCAGGATAGTCATCACATACGTCACGGTTTCTCCATCCATGGAAAAAATGCTTTCTATTTATTAAAGAGAGCATTCTTTAGAAAAAAAAAGAAAATGCCAGAGAAGAATGCTTTCTTTAGAAAAAAGGAAGCATTTTCTCCAACCGGTTTGCCAGAAAGTGATTCATGTATTTACCAAGAGAGGAAACTTTCTTTTTTTAAAGTGGGTCATTGAAAATTCGATGGGCTGTGAGAGTGTGTCATCTGAACTAATCACATGGTTTAAATTTTGAATAAAACAGAGTGTAGTAATATGCAACACTGATTTTGTTTGCCACTGCAGGATAGCTCCCTGTTACCCGGTCAAAGGTTCCAAACGATGGAAGGTAAGGTTTCTTTCTCTTTGTGTGTTGTACCTTCTCTTACTTTGTCCACAGGAAGTCTCACACCAGAGCTATAGTTGTTGTATTTGAAGAAAGTATCCTGGTAATACAGATAATAAGGACTGAGCCATGAGATATTCTGGCTGTCTTTTTATTTAAAAAAAAAATCCATCCCTGGTTTGATTGGCTGTTGCTTTATCACAATGAAAATCTAACCTGATGCAGTCTTTACTCAACATTCCAGTTTGCAGGCTCCAGCTTCATTTGACTCCAACAGAGAACTAAACACAGTTCTTCTTTTTGGTGGCTTTGTTGTTGAAGTGAAGTTGAAAATTCGGCCAATTTAATTTGAATTAACCCAATGTTCTCGATTTACAAACACGGTTTGTTCATCTACAACATATTAGACCAGAATATAAATGTATATATTTATCATTTTCTCAGGAGGCATACAACAGGGGGGTTTCTAATACAATAACAATTTAGATTCTAATGGAGGATATAGAACTCCACCAATTAAAGATGATTGTTTTTATGATTTTCACACATTTTGACTTTTAAGAGTATTTTAAGAGTTTTTTTTATTAAAATATCTAAAAATGTGCAACCATAGACTGCATGCCCAGATGCTCACATCCCATAATGACCAGATGGAAGTTTAATTTTCAAATCCTAACATTTTCAGCCCCTTACATTTAGACACGGGGGGTTGGTGCTGACACAGATGTGTTGGGGTAGTTTCATCTATGGTTAAGGTTGTTCACTGCCATTTCGTTTTGATGTGTTTTTTTCCATATTTTTAAAGGTCAACTTTAGTTGCGTTCGTACGGATGCATGTTTCACCAACGTGTACAAGATCAGTTTTGTTGCTGGTGAATTCCTATGATTCCAGCAGGAAATATTTTTTAATTACATTTTTAATTTTCTGCGAATAGCAGAGAAAAAAATTCTGCTCTCAGTCGTTTATACGTAGAATTTCTGGTTTTATCATAGCCATGGTACATTGTGCTTATTCACAGAGTAGAGATGATATGTAATCGAATATTCGTTGGGGTAACATTTACATTTTTTACAGTTCTAAATGTAATTTGACTTTAGCCTTTTCTCCGTTTCCTTTCACAGGCAGTGGTAAAATAGTGGTCAGCCTTTATCCGTACGAGGCTTCGCATCAGGATGACTTGGGCTTCAAGAAGGGAGAAAAGATGAAAGTCTTGGAGGAGTAAGTGAGTGAAAGTGTTGGCCATCACCTCCAGTGTTTCAGCATCTGTAATCTGAAATGTGTTGATGTGACTTGCAGACATGGTGATTGGTGGAAAGCAAAATCTCTGACTAGCGGCAAAGAGGGATTCATCCCATCCAATTACGTGGCTGAAGCTGACACCATGGAAACAGAGGAGTGCGTGGCTGATCATGTTGTTTTGAGTAAACAGACCGAAGGTTGAAGTTGAAGGTCGAAGTTGAGGGGTTGTATGAGTGTTTTCATTTCTTTACAGGTGGTTTTTCAAAGACATCACACGGAAGGATGCGGAGAGGCAGCTGCTGTCACCGGCTAACAAACCGGGCTCTTATCTCATCAGGGAAAGCGAAACATCCAAAGGTACAGAAGTCCTAACAAGTGACAGCCATCCACATGGATCAGAGGAGAATCAGATGTACTTTTTTAACCGTTTTGGGAAATCCATCGCTTACCTTTCGATATCTTCTCAGGCAGCTACTCGCTGTCTATCAGAGACGTGGACGCTCAAGGCGTGGACTCAGTCAAGCATTACAGGATCAGGAATCTGGAGAAGGGTGGCTTCTACATTTCTCCCAAAATCTCCTTTACGGACATCGGCAGTATGCTCAAACATTACCACCGTGAGTATATGGCTCCAGACTTTAGAAGAAAAGCCACCAGAAGGGGTTAAGCCTCAGGGCAGGAGAGGAGTTTTCCAGAAGCTGCTTTAGCTCCAGGACGTCTCTGCTTGAGGGTCCAAACTGATTTCTCTCCCTACTCACATCGATTCATCATCATTTCTAGATCAGATTGCATGGAGCAACCCTGATAGTACATTTACCAAGAATATTGTTTAGGTTTTTGTTTAGTTGATAATCCTAGAATATCTAGATATAACACTTTCATCCCTGCAGTGTTCAGAAAAAAAAAAAAGATAACTACCAAAGATTATCAAGCCCAGAAATGAAGACAGCTTCTGCGTAATCTCTTTTAGGCAAAGCGGACGGCCTGTGTCGGAAGCTGGAGCGCCCCAGTGAGAAACCCAAAGCTCAGAAGCCGTGGGATAAAGATGCTTGGGAGGTTCCCAAAGAGGCGATTAAGATGGTGAGGAAGCTGGGAGCGGGACAGTTTGGAGAAGTGTGGATGGGTGAGTAATGAATACTGTAAGCAATGCTGTCTCCAGAAGGAATCTCAAGTCCGGAGTCCAAATATACTTAAATGTTGAGGCTGGTGTGTGTTAGATCTCAAGGGAAGATCTCAAAGAGTGTGATAGCCGGAGTGTGCAAACTTTCCTCAAACATGTGTCTGTAAACAAAACCTATGTAAATGATTAGTGATTTGCCAAGTGAATGTGACATGTACGATATGAGACTCCCACACAGATAATCCTGATTTATCCAAATTCATTCTGAGTGTCCGGCCAGTCACACTTTAAATCTGGAGATTCAGTGTAGATCGGTATGTTCCTGATTTTTGTTTAGTTTGAGTCCTTCCGCTGGTTTACTTTCAAATCAGGGCTGTAGAAGTGTACTTTTGGTGGGGAAGTTCTATTTCCCTTTAAATGGAACAATTTATCTTCCCCTGCAGCTCAAACATTAAGGTGTTTCTCCTCTTTTCAAACAGATTTTCTTGAAAATTCTTAAATGTGTCCGTGTCCCCCGGGTATACAGGACCCAGTTCTCTGATATTTTACAGAGGATTTCATCTGAAGGGTGATTTGCATTGCACCTTTAAACAGGGATGATGGCACATAGTCCACCTGCGTTTACATTATCAGTATGAAGTACATTTATTGTTATCATCATATACAGAGCCTGTAGCAAAACAGCTTTGAGTTATGCCGTTCTTAACAACATAATGAGTAATATTAGACAGAGCTTTTGACTCCTTTAAGGGACTTACCAGGAAATATTGTTTACTTTTACAAGGAAACAACTGGTAGGGCACGTTATGTGAGCCAGACCTATCGTTTCCCTTCCAAAAACACTGCCGCAGTATTTTGAAGTTCTTTAAAACACAGAGGAACCACAATCAGCGACAATTGTGAAAAAGACCATTTGATTTGTGTTTTCTCTGTGAGTGGGTTTAACACGGGAAGTTAGGGTGTTGGTTCTGGTTGGGAGTGGTTTTGAAAGATCAGCGTTATATTTGTATTCGGTGGTAAGCGTGTGACTGATGATTAAACGGACACGTGTTCACTGTAAGGAAACTTAACTTCACTTTACATTATCAAACTATTTAAAAAGCATTTATCGTCTTTACAGCTCTGAACTCGGTTTGAAACAGGGCTCCATATTTAGCCTGCCAACAGTCATCATTCATCAGAAATTGCGAAATTTTGGCTACTGCTTTGCTGATGTCTCAAAACTACAAGTCATCTGTGATTTCATTAGGATTTTCAGTCTCACCAGTATCAAATGAGTTTAGCCTTTTTTGTCAGACAGAAGAAAGAACAACACGTCTGCATGCACATTATTTCATGCTAATCTGCAGTTTGTGTTGCTGATCTAGGAGCTAAGATGGGAAAGCTTCAACAGCATTGTCCCAACATAAGCAACAGATTATCCTGTTTAAGATATATAAGATTATGAATGCGAGTGAAAATGCAAAACAGAAATTCTAGATGTATAACATCAAATCCAGGTAGCATTGCACACTTACAAATGCATTCTGACTTGAAAAAAGCAAACCTTGGGAGTAAAGCTGAACTGTCATTAGTCAGCAGGACAGTCAGTAAAAGAAAATATTTACTGGCAGAATAGTTATGAAAGCAGAAACTAGAGCAACATTTATTCATTAGAACTGTGATGTTGAAATGTAGACACTTACAGGCTGATTCATTCATGTGTATTTCCCCACCAGCAGCTCGTTTTTTGCACATATTAATTTGGATTTGTGGGTTTCCTAACTGGTTTCTTAACTCTTTTCTTTGGTTTTCATTTTTGCTTTTGCTAGTTATGCAGCCATTTCTCAGAATATTCTGCAGTGCGGCATTAGCCTAGTCTTTTGTCACATTTGTAGTTCGCCTCTGTCATTTTTTGTCTGATTGTGTGTGTTCACGCTTGTGTTTTGGGTCCTTCCCCCTCACCACCACATACTCAGAAAAAAAGAGTTGAAACCATTTTGTATGGGTTTTTGTTACCAGCATAGCCCCTCTCGCCTCTGATTTGACATTTTTATGGGATTTACAAGTCAAACATGCTAAAACTCAACGTCACTGCCATCCTGCAGAAAGAAGATTTCCAAATGAAGTCAAGGTTAATACTAGCACTGTGGAAAAGGTAAAGCTAAAAGCTGCTTTGACTGATATTTACCTCCATGTTTCCACTCCCCCCCCCCCCTTCAGCATTCTACAACAGCTCCACCACAGTGGCGGTGAAGACCCTGAAGCCTGGCACCATGACGGTTCAGGCCTTCATGGAGGAAGCCAACATCATGAAGACGCTGCAGCACAAACGGCTGGTCCGGCTCTACGCTGTGGTCACCAAGACAGAACCCATCTACATCATCACGGAATATATGGAAAATGGTAACTGTGACACTTGTTTAATGCCATATCGATCAAGTGCAGACCTATAAACTTATGGTTTATAAAGTCAGCACTTTATGACTTCAAACTGATCCTAATGCTTCGAGTCATGTTAGGAATTAAGGACACCCATAGTAGAACATTTACAAAAGTCATGGGATCATGTCATGGTCTTAAGATGAATTGAAATCAACCATAACAGAAGTAAGCTGGTACAAACTGCCTCATCTGCCGTTCCCTATATATCAAAACATTCAGCCTCCTCTTGACTAAAAAGGAGAATTCCAGTTTGGCTTCTTATTCATTACTTAGATAAAATCCTGCATGCCTCAGGGTATGGACATATGTCAGTGCCTATGAAAATGTCAGCATTTCACATCTGAACAGGTTTCATTATAGATATTCGTCATGTGGAGCAACATTTGCCCTCACTGAGACAATGTCCGCACATTTAATCTAGACAATACAAAACTACAGCCTGCATCTATCCCTACAGTGGGACTTTGGGATGGAAGAGCCTGGCAGAAACATTCTAAATGAGCCACTGCTCAGATTAAATGTGCCACATTCAACAGTTTAACGGGTTCTATTTTATCAGGATTGAATAGGACATTTTACAGTGTCCTTCTTTTTACAATGACTGTATGTAATAAGATAAAGACAATGTGTGCTAGAATGAGAGCTAACACTGATACATCCAGAGCTGGAGATCCATGAAAGCTCACACCTACTCTGTGTCGTTTTCAGGGAGCCTGCTCGACTTTTTAAAGAGTGAGAAAGGTTGCAAACTGTTACTACCCAAGCTCATTGATTTCTCAGCGCAGGTAGGTTTTCTTCTGTTTTTTGTGAAGCATGCTTCCTGTATGTATCTTCACTTGTTCTTCTCATATGCATCAAATGGTTAATGTTTTAAGTAATATCAAATAGTTTCTATAAACAAGGTTATTTCACCAGTATGTAAAGCGATAACGTGTTTCAAAGGGAAAATATGATGGAAAATGGGAATGGAAAACATAGTTTGAGCTCCATCTGATCCAACTCTGTCAAACAACTTTTCACAACAACTTTTCATTTAGCCGTTTCATACAGTTGCTTAGGGTTAGTCATGAAACAGAAGAACAGTTCAGTGTAAAAAAATCACTATTATCTCACAAGTTTTGGTTCTTTATTCTGACTATTTTTAACCACACACTTTCTTATGAAACTCGCTGCTTGCATGCTGCTCCGAATATAACCTTAAAGACCATCATGATGATGCTAACGTAGGATTAACATGTCTTCCTGTTCCTTTTCAGATAGCAGAGGGAATGGCGTACTTAGAGAGGAAGAATTACATTCACAGAGACTTGAGGGCGGCTAATGTCCTTGTTTCGGAGAGTTTGCTGTGCAAGATCGCCGATTTTGGATTAGCAAGAGTAGACGACTACGTCGCCGGAGAGGGTAAATGCTGAGTATGTCTGCTGGGACATATTTTAAGTTTTTCTTAGAGAACTTTCTGCTCACAGATTAGCCACACTTTTAATTTTGTTTAGATGGCTTGAGCTTGAGCTGATTTCAAAACCAGATGAACATTTGCAGTTTATGATTGACCCTCTTTTTCGCATGAAAATGAAATGTGCCAGGACCACAGGGGCTCCCACATGTAGAACCCACACAACCCACGCTGCTCATCTCACGATGAACTATGTTCTACACATTTAATCTTCAGAATCATCTAATGGCATATTTCCTGTGTCTGTTCCACCTCAGGAGCCAAGTTCCCCATAAAGTGGACCGCTCCGGAGGCCATTAACTACGGCAGCTTCACCATCAAATCAGACATCTGGTCCTTCGGAGTACTGATTTATGAGATTATCACCTATGGAAAAGTCCCCTACCCAGGTAAACACGAGGCTGAATTTGTCTCACCATAAATTTCAGTTATTGGAACCTTTAAAAGCTGAACTTATAATAAGACTTGCTTACCTATACGTGCTGATGCAGTATATCAAGATCAAATTAATTTTATTATAAAATGGTTTCCTGGCCTCGCATGGGCACATTCATCTATATCTTGCTACCCTCTAGTGGTTAATGTCACTGCCTTTGATGCCACTTTTTTTTAAAAACCTCAGTAGGATGAAGGATACAGCTAAATCACCAATATAGCTACCTGGGTATCCACCCTAATTTAAAGCAACATGCACCCTCTTCCATTTCTCCTCCCCTCCCGGAGGCACTGACTCTTTGTCTGATGGTGTCCAGGTATGACCAAAGGAGAGGTGATCTCCTCAGTGCAGCGGGGCTACAGGATGCCTCGGCCTGACAACTGTCCCCTAGAGCTGTACGACATCATGACGTCCTGCTGGAAGGACAGACCCGGGGACAGACCCACGTTTGACTACATCCAGAGCGTCCTTAATGACTTCTACACAGCCACAGAGGGACAGTACCAGCAGCAGACATGAGCAGACACAGAGACTGTTCATGCAAAAAGACATTTCACATTCACTACCGGCCGCATGGTAAAATCTGCTGTTTGTTGTCTGTAACTGAGTACACCGAAGGACATAAAGAGATTATTATAGCATTATACACAAAGAAGAGAAACTGTCAATATGTTATATCTCTTATGTTTTGATACAGGATTTTTGTAAAAAGGGTTTCAAATATATGTACAAAAGGATTAATTGTCCCACTTTACTGCTGTCAGAGTGACTGAACAAAGAAGAAAAAGGCATTCTACAAAGTGTTTGGCAAGGAAAGAGACGTTTAGTTAAAATACCCATTCATTTCTTGGAGTTTTTTTTTTATAACTCAGTAAGTATGTATCCTTTTCAACTGGAAATGTTCTTTCTGCTACATTTACTGAAACATTTTTTTCATGTAAAAAGACATCATTTCTAGCCAAAATAAAGTATAGACACAAGCTTTTTACAGTATTTACATTTCAAGTCTAACATATCTACTTATATATCTTCCTGAACAAAGGGAGCCTTTATCTTATAAATTCCACCATTTTAAGTTCCCGTCACCTTCTGTTTCCTCAGCCAGTGAGTGACAGTTTAATGATGTCTGTAGTACCCACTTCATGTTGAAGTAATGCACACAGCTCGTTTTGTTTCGTCTCTAAATAAATAGAAGAGTTTCTCCTTCATTGTTTCACATTTCAAGCTGGACTGGGTTTGAGACTTAATTGTTTAAACTGAAATAAAACCTTGTAAATTGAAGGTAATTAGCAGAACGGTGTAACATTACATTATGGGCTTCTTGTGAGCATAACGTTTAATTAATTAAAGCCTTATTTTTTTAATAAAAGTGTATCGATTTAGTAACTTAAACTATGTGCTGTGAATTGTATTTTGTGTTGGATGTCTTATAGTGCACGCTACTGCTTAAAGGTCTTGAGTCATTTCCAGCTACATTTCCAGCAAGATTTTTTTGTAGTTATTTAAATTGATTTCAAGTTTTTGTTTCAACACCAGATTTAAAAAAAAGAACTGAACCAAAGCAAACATCCAAAGAAGCCTAGAGAGTTATTTTTGATTAATGCTGGAAGAATTACAGATAAACTTGACTAAAAGGGTTCAGAATGTGTTTAAGAATAAATCCCAGGTCCAAATAACAAATATCAACATTTAAGCTTGACAAACTTGGAAAAACGCACTTTAAAAAAAAAACATTTCCTGCATTTTTAGTTTTTCTGGCACATTTCAAGAAGTCGCTGCTCCTATTTCCCAACCTCTTTGGCATTTTGAAGAAATTATTAAATCAAAGATTTTTGCACAGCAGTGAATGTTTCAGCCAAGGTCATATAACACAACAAACCCCTAAAAGACAAGGGGTTGAGTACATTAACATTGCAGAAAGTTTACAACTGGGTACAGTTTGCCAAAATGCCGTCAATCTTAAGTCTTATAAAAACTGTGTTTCCCAGGAATGTGTGTGGCTGTTTAGCTGTAAATGTGCCAAACAACATTACAGGAAAAGGAGAGAGACTGAATATTGTTCAACATAAAAATAATAGTATTAAAAAAACCCATATGAAATCACCAATCTGTTCTATATAAAACTCTTTTTTTGAATTCGAGATAAAAAGCCGGACAAAATTAGACGAATAATATTTTGAAGCGTGGCTTATTTCCGGGTGGGGTCACGTGGTTGTTCAAGATGGCCGCGCCCACCGGAGCAAGTTAGCTTAAGGAGAGTAGTTTACATGACAGGTCTGAAGCTGCCGGTGTCGTCCGACATCCTCAGAGCCGAAGCAGTTTTTCAGAAAGCCATCTCCCCGCAGGCCTGCCGCCATGAGCAAGAAGGATTTCAGCCTGTGAGTACTTTTTATCGGAATGTTTAAACTTTTTCTATCAGTCCGAGATTTGTGAGCATTTTTTGTGTCAAAATGAAGTGTCATTGTTATGTAAAGAATTCCCTGGAATGAGTCTATCACCTCAGTTCCGTGTCAGCTACCTGTAATCCTCTTTTCACAGATAAACCGAGTTAAACTCCAGACACAACACCTTTTGCTCCTCTTTGAATAATCCAGATTAAGATCCTCAACATGTTTGATTCATTCCTCTTCTCATTGAAACTAGTCTGTCTGCAAAAAAGGCACACTTTTTTAGTACAATCAAACATATTTGGCACAGATTAGAAGTTGATCTGTTATTCTGAATGAGTTCTTAGAGAGGATATATTGTAAAAGTCTAATGGGATTTTGTGGATGTAGTACACAATTTAAAGGTACTCCCAGAGAGTTTCATTTGAAACATTTGGAACTGTGTCATCGCTCACGACTCAACTGATTCAACGGTTTTTCTGCTGTTGGCGGATGATAAGAGAGCAGCAGGCTGTTATCTGACCCAACAGAAGGTCAGCCGGGGCCTGTGTGGCCACAGAGGGAGCGCCTCTCTGTTCCATAACACACAAATTCCTTTGTATGGTCTAGATTTTAGGACACTACCAGCAAGGACTCCCAATGTTGTAATGACGGCGTTGTACACCTTCTGTAGAAATGATCAGTTTTGTTGAACGTTTAGCTGTAAATGTGGAGGACTCAAACTGGGAGTGGATCAGTCTGAAAATTAACGTGAGACTTGGTCATTATTATGTCGTTATTAAGATAAATCCATGTTCAACTTTTGGCTGAATGACATTAAAAAACAAAGATGTTTTATGGACGTTTTAGTGAGCTCAGAAACAGACTGGATCTGCTTTCTGTGTCAGCGTTCCTCAGCTCACCCGCGATGGACTGATGGCCTGCCTAAAACCCGGAGCACAGCTCCGCCCCGACTGTTTGCTCATTCGCTGACCGTACAGGGATGCTAACCTATGGTTTTTCTCCACCCAGCCCAGAGGACTTCCCTCAGCTGAAGAACAGCACGTTCCTGCGGGCGGCGCGGGGGGAGGAGACCGACCACGTGCCCGTGTGGTGCATGAGGCAGGCCGGGAGGTACCTGCCAGGTAGGGTCTGCCCGCCCCGTCACCCGGGTGACGAAGGCCCAACAAACCCCAGAACGGCCCAACTTCCTCTCTGCTGCAGATCATGTTGCTTTTTCGCTCTTTTTCTGTGTTTTATTTGCTATTGACGAAGGCCTCAGTGACCCTTTGCGTTTCTTTGAATCTTGTCTGCAGAGTTCCGGGAGTCCAGAGCCGGGAAGGACTTCTTTGAGACGTGTCAGTCTCCGGAGCAGTGCTGCGAGCTGACCCTGCAGGTAGAAGCCCACCCAGGCTGGACGTCCCATTCTGAGGCCAAACTTTAAAGTTTACGTCAGTTCAGATTCTCCTCTTTTTTCCTTTCAGCCTCTTAGACGTTTTCCCTTCGATGCTGCTATCATCTTCTCGGACATCCTGGTCATCCCACAGGTAAAACCCAGCTGATTTCAGTCTTTTTTTTCCCCGTTAAGCTTTGTTGGAGTGCGTTTTGTCTTGAATTTCCAGAATACACAATTCTTTGAAAGGGAAATAACTATTTCCTGTGGACTTCCAGCAGCGTAGTGACTCACTGGCCTGCGTAGATTCTGTCTGTTCAGCATTTTTCTCCAAATTCACTGGAAGTGTTCACATTACAGAAGCTGGAGAGGCTTGCCTCCCTTTCACGTCACCCATTGCCTCAGACACCCTTCTCTCTCCCTCCCCCCATCAGGCCATGGGCATGGAGGTCCAGATGGTGCCGGGCAAAGGCCCGAGCTTCCCCGAGCCCCTGAAGGAACCCGAGGACCTGCAGCGGCTGCAGCCCAACGTGGACGTCGGGAAGGAGCTGGGCTACGTCTTCAAGGCCATCACTCTGACCAGACACAAGATCGAGGGGAAAGTGCCCCTCATCGGGTTCTCAGGAGCCCCGGTCAGAACACGATCTTCATTGAACTAAGAGGGAAAAATGGAGGATTAGCTGCATGTTCTCACCTCTCTGTGTGTGTGTGGCTCCACAGTGGACGCTCATGTGCTACATGATAGAGGGCGGAGGCTCCAACACCCAAGCCAAGGCCAAGTCCTGGCTGTACCGGCACCCCGAGTCCAGCCGCCTGCTGCTGGCCATGCTGACCGACGTCATCGTGGACTACCTCCTGGGACAGGTGGCCGCCGGGGCTCAGGTCAGAGCCAAATTCAAGCAGAAAAGGGAGAACATATCGTCTCCAGTCTCAGAAAGATGATGATGAACAAAGAAAAACCTCAGCAGAAATCATTTTCTACAGTGCAGCCTCTTAAAAAAAAAAAAACGGGCTGAAATGCTGTTCGCCTGAACTCGTGGAAACACAACTTCCTCATAGAATCAGCACTAAATACAGTTGAGGCAGCATTCTTTCTTTCTTCTTGTTCCCCAAAAATGAACCACAGGCTGGAAGCACAAACTGGGGGGTGTACACCAGGTCTAGACTACGCGGTCTGTAGCCGGATGTGCGTTGGCTTGATTTTTTCCACTGCGTGTTTTAGTCATTTTTCCCTCAGGACATGTTTTTGGTCTTTCCTGTCGATCACTCAGATTTCTTGAAAACTTGTTTTTCTTGCAGTTCTTGATGTAATTTAACTTGGAACACTAAAACAAACCCCTTCATCATCTCTCCGGCGTATTGGAAGAAGACAGGCAGGTTAACAGAAACTCTGTTTGGTGCAGGCTCTGCAAGTGTTCGAGTCCCACGCCGGCATCCTGGGACCGGTGGAGTTCAGAGAGTTCTCGCTGCCTTACCTCCGAGACATCGCCCGGCGGGTCAAAGACAAGCTGAAGGAGGACGGCCGGGACGTCCCCATGGTGAGAAAAACCCATCAGACCTGCACACCAAACAAAAACCAGGCAAAGCAGCCTGCTTTCTGCTCGTTCCATTTTTTTACTCTGTTGAGCTATTAGCTTTTTTGTCTGAATAAACTCTTCTGGTCGTTACCGCGGTGAGGCCTGAACCACTTTTCCTGAGGGATCATTTAAAGTGATTGTAAATGCTTTGGCATGTTGCTACCCATAGGTGGCAGCATTTCACTATAAATGGCTCATGAGGAAGTTTGAAGCGGGGTCAGTAAAGTTTCCCTGCGTCTGCTTTCCAGATCGTCTTTGCAAAGGATGCCCACTACGCTCTGGAGGATCTCTCAGAGTCTCATTATGAGGTGGTCGGGCTGGACTGGACCGTTGATCCGCGACAAGCACGGTAACAAAAACACACAAAACACACACAAAAACGCTCAGTGGAGCTCCAGGTGCTCATTTGTCTGCAGCCCTGCATTAAAGCCCCCCCCCCTGAGCCCCAGCTCAACTCTGCGTGCCCTCTCTTATCATGGCGCTCGGCTGGGAGCGGGATTTGAATAAACTGACCTCTGCACTCCCTTTCCGGCCCATCGGACACTTAACCTGTTGGTTAAAGCATTAACTGCTGTCCTGTGTTTTCGTGTGTTCAGCGAACGCACCGGAGGGAAGGTCAGCCTGCAGGGGAACATGGACCCCTGTGCTCTGTACGCACCCAAGGTAACTAAAAGTCAACAACAAAAAACTCATAGAAGCGGAACTCGGTTTACTTTAGTTTTGTTTTTGTGGCATATTTTGGCTTTTACTAACCAAGCCGAGTTCCATAAAACTGGAAACGTCTGCATTTTGTAGCCTGACTTGGAGCATGACTCGGATTAAATATTAACTAGCTTTTCCTAAATCTTTTCTCTTCCTCGATAGTATTTTTTTCCTCTCACTTAATTTGTAACCAAAGCGGTTTGGTGTTGACGGAGGTTTGTTCTCAGAGGAAGCAGCTCCGGCTGCAGCAGGGATGTTTAACGTCCGTTAATCTTCACCTGGGATCCCCTCACCTCTCCTCCTCTTCCTCTCCGTCAGGAGCGCATTGCTGACATCGTGAAGAAGATGCTGGAGGGTTTCGGCCCGCGCGGCTACATCGCTAACCTGGGCCACGGGCTGTACCCGGACATGGACCCGGAGAGCGTGGGCGCCTTCGTGGAGGCCGTGCACCAGCACTCCAAACTCCTGATCAAACAGATGTGAAGGCCCGTCCGATGAAGAACAGCGTTTAGTTTTTGTTTGTTTGTTTTGGGGCATCCAATCACATAAACTAAAAATGGAAGGATTTTTTTTTTATTTTTTTTTTTTAATATAACAAAATGAACTAAAGAGACTTCCTTTTTTTTTTTTTTTTTTCTATTTTTTTTTTTTTTTTTTTTTTTCACAATGAGCCCTCGCAAGAAGAAAAACAAAAACACGCTCCCGGAGTAAATTCCTGCCCACGCCAGGATAAACATGCTGCTTTTCCAGAACACGCTTCCCTTTTTTCATCTATTATGTGTTTATCTGACCACCAGTGGATTAAATATTTGGATTGAAAAAGAGATTTAAGCTCGATATCTGCGCACGATCATATTTGTAATAATATTGGATCAATTGGGAAAAGCTTTTAACAGCTTTTTCGAGTGTTATGAGTTATTTTATTTTTCTCATCCAAGCTATGTGAGGTTTGCATTCATTAATGCAAAAGAATCAAACAGGCGGCGGCAGCATATTAAGCCGGGCTTGAAGAAGGAAACAAATAGATTCAAACCGCTCTGAAAACAAAACGCTGGCGGTTTGATGAAAAAGGGACTCAGCAAGAGACACGCTGAATATGTCACAAAAACAAAAATCCCATTTGAGGGAGAATGTCAGCGCGCAGCGGTTGTTGATCATCCCACCACGAACATCCCGGCTGAGCTACCCCCCCCCGGAGCCCAGCGGGGGCCCGGCCGTTCCCCCAAATCATCCACCGCAAGAGCCTGTTTTTGTCTGTTACTCCGGCTAAAACGTTTCCATTATTTATTATTCCATAAACGTGGCCAGTAGTTTGAAAAAAAAAAAAAAAAAAAAGGATTGAGTGAGATGCTCCTGACTGAAAACCTACAAGTGATTATGGTGACCCGGAGAAGAAACACAGCAGAGGTTTTGTTTTAGTTTTCATTTTGTCTTTTGCTCATTTGTGTATTTAATGTTTAAGACCAGAAATAAAGACTCATTTTTTTTGTTGTAAATTGACTTTACCCTGCATTCTTATGTTTCTCCATTCATATCAAAATAATTTCCCTCTGGGATCATTAAAGTGTTTCTGATTCTGATATCTGGGGGCCGTGCGGCTAATGGCCGCCATGTGGGACTCTTCACGGATTATCTTTTGGCCCCATGCTAGCTGGTGCGATTGGCTATGCTTGGGTACACAGTTACCTCATCGGCACGGGCATCTTATCTGAGACCTAATTTAGTAGACCACATGCGTCTGAACCCAGATGGACAATTTGCATGGGGTCCACCCCATGTGGGGGGCATTCATTACCCCCATAAGCCCCGAGCCCAGACCGGGCTGGGAGTGGAGCTCGCTCTGCTGTTAGCATGAGCTGAAGCTTTACGGAGAACTTATTTTTCGACACTTGTACTTGGTGTTGTTTTGATGGATTAGGTGGAGGCTGCAGATGCAGACGGAGGCCTGGTTAGGAAAATGGGACAGGGACGCGGCGGCGATTGGGGCTGAAACTGGGACAGAAGTGAGAGTGTCCTGCCGGAAGGTGCGGGGATCTGTTTTTATCCGCCCCGCCGAAGTCCTCCGAGAGATGCTTTGTAATGAAGGTTCTGTAGAAATAAACAGGAGGACAGCAGAGACTGGCCTCTGGAGCGCTGGGACAGGACTCCACAGAAAAAAAACTAAAACAGACACAGCAAATGTCAGAATTCGTGAGTGAAGCGTACAGATGCTCGTCGGCCTGACCTTGGTTTGGCTACAGGAATGCTGCCCCCCCCCCCCCCCGACATCTGCAGCTTCTACGTCCTCCTCTCATAGGGAGCCTCAGAACTTTCTTATCGTTCACTTTGTTCAATCCGGGAGACTTTGAAACAGTTTATTCCTGTGATAAAGCCTGTTGTACGTAATCTGGAACAAGCCGGGCTTTTCCAGGGGCTAAAGGCAATCTGGAAATTCATCTATTTGAAAGAAATTAAATTATGAGCAGAACCCGCAATCCCAAACATAATAGAGTGAAATGGAACAGCAATGATGATGCCAATTACTAAGAGTAGGAGCTTTTCCTGGGTTCCAAACAACGACATTTTCATGAATAGACTCCATGTTCTGTAGAGTCTGACCTCTCTGAAACCCTATTGATCAGGATGTTTACAGACACTAATTGAAGTAAAAAAAGGCACCAAAGCCCTGCTCTCAGTTCAACAAATAAAGAAATAAACTCACCAACACAAAGGGGGGTGGGGGGGGCAATGATTTTGTGCAGCGTTGAATAATTCCATGTGTAATATCAATAAAAAGGAGAAATACATGTGTTCTAAGTCAGATGGGCCTCAATAAAGACAGCAGCTCTGCAAAAAGTCAAAGCTTCAGTTCTGAAAACAGGCCACATGCCCCCCCCCACCCCCAATCCTGGTTAGTTTGGCTCTCATTGCCAACACCTGGCAGAGCAAGAGGCTTTCAAGTGCTCCCGTTCATCAGAGCGCCATCCTGAACCAGGAAGAGGACTCTGGAGAAA